TATATTTTTCAGTAATACACAACTTCATTTTGTCATGTGGGTGTATAATACTGATATAAAAAATAAACTCATTTTTTTATTAAAAACCTCTTTAAAAAACGATTTTTGTGTTTTCATTTAATTATTTTTGATGTGTGTACTTTTTAACTTAATTCTTTTTTCTGATTTTGGACTGAACTGAAAGCATTCGTGGCATGATTTCTAAGTATACATTATTTGGTGTATGTATTCAATGATTGTCATGTTTTGCCGATCCAGAATTTCCTCTTATACCGCAACGCAGGCTGAAATCCGGCAGGCAACGAAATAACAGCGTACTTAAGAAACTCCTCCCGAAAAGTTGACAGAATATTTAAAATCATTAGGTTAATAGCATAAACGTCAGACTCTAATAATAATTGTCTTTCAGTTCGCTAAACTCTAGTCAAACCATTGCGTCATGGTCACCAATCAATCTACTAAACAGATTTCAAGTAACTGAATAAGATTCGGCATTTTTCCTGTTAAAAGCGAGTACCCACCGTTTTATTTGACAACTGATATTCTTTGGCAAAGAGCTTTGTAAAATAAGAGAAAGCAGGATAAATTGTTGTCGTTGTAATAATGATTAAAAAATTGCACTCTCTCCGAATTAAGACTATTCTCAACTAATTGACATTATGTTTCTCTAACAAAGGCTTTGTACGTTTGGATACTGCCGACACGGCTTTATACGTATCTGTGGCTTACATCTTCTAAAGAGGGTTTGTGCAATTACAAACTTCGAAACTCGTTTGAAATTATTTATGTCTTTTTCTTTGTCATTCGTCTTCGCGTCCTTTCCAGAGTTCTGCTCGTGCTCTCGACATCGACGCGATGTTTTTGCGTTTTCGCTTTGTTTTCGATAGATTGTATTCTTAAAGAATTTCTGTTCAATTTTTTCTGTGAGTAAACAGAAAACACAAAGGTTTTGACGCGCGCGCCGTTGATTTAGCGGCATGTTTCTCTGGCAATATGATAAGCTCTGTAAACACGCCTTTACGATGATTGTACGCGCCCGCAATACTATGTGYCAGTCTAMGAAGAATGAACTCTATGATTTACAAATGGTGCTCTTAGAGTACAAACATTAAATGTGTGCAATAYWTTVCACTATTTACTACAAAATAGTGTTAATTAAACAATAGAAAACAATAGAATAGCATAATTTAGCAGTATTTAGTGGTATTTATGTTGCACAGTTTTAGTGTTTGTAGAGTGAACGCACTTAATCCGTGCAACTGTACAAACTAAATAGTGCTTTTTAGTTGTAAATCGTGCATGCCGTACRCAAATTAAATTGAATTGATACAAATGGAGCATTCAATACCGTCTTGCTTCAGGTCCACTTTTAGTACTTAGATTTTGTACAGTTGCACGAATTAAGTGCGTTCACTCTACTCTAATCGTAATAGTCATATTTGAATAACGCTGCAGAATACAAGAGATCAGAACCAACTGTAAATAAACGGACTAACTAAATAGTATTTCACGGGCAGGTTTATGAAAACCACGAGGCATGGTTATGCTTGAAAATGTGCGCCAACCACTCGAATAGTTTTAGTTTTTTTTTCACTTTGTTAATATATTATTTTCTTTTTTATTGAATCGTTATTTGCTGTGGTGGTTACTGTGAGTTAACTGATCAGTTCATTTAACCAGACAGCGACGATATATAGATACATGACTTATAATGTAACCACAAATATCTTAAATAATGCACAACGATGTGTACGCGTTTAAGAATCACAACCATCCGCTGTACCTTGCGAGCCGAAGCGCCAGAAAGGCGGATTCGTAGGATTTCTTAAAGTGACTGAGCGCGAATCATCTTCCGTTTGGACAGAAATACCTTTAACTAAGTACCTCACAGTATATAGAGCGGATTTCGTATGAGTGGGAAACGGACGGTACTGTACTGTGACCGTAATCGTACTGTAACCAAATTCTAGTGCCCCATTGGTTCACCAAAATTGTGCAGGCCAGGTGCGGTAACTGTGCGGTAACCGTGCGGTAACGGTGTCCCACTCATACGAAATCCGCTCTACTATCAATCTATAAGTTATTATATGTTTGACGTAAACAGCAGCGCGAGCTCGCGCTGTATTGTGGGTGGCTGGGATTCTTTAGAAATATTGAATACTCCTGCATGGAATATTTCTAATACCGAAGTGCATTGTTGGAGGTCGTGTCGTCGCTAAAAGGGTTTTTTACTGTTTCTCAGAGCTGAACTAAGGGGTTGTTGCTTAGAATTGTCATTTTGTAACTCCACTTGCATATATTCCAGTAACAATAGGTAATGTTCGGTGATGTCATTTTGTGTAACAAAGCATGATGTGACTTGTAGTCTTTGCACTTTTTCATGTCTGCTAAAGCAGGCTTCCTTTTAAGTCGTTTTTTTTTATTATAAAAATCCCATCATGCTTTGTGGTACAAAATGACGTCGCTTCACGTATACATGCATCAGTACTTTTGGAGAACAATGCGTCCACCATCTTGAAAAGTGAGCTCCAAATCACGAAATTATAACTTAAATAAATTATATAAGGAATTAAAAGCTTCTCAGCTAATGTCCAGTTAATATAGTACAATATAATGGTAGATAAGTTGACTTAGAAACTACGAAATGTGTTCTAAGGCACAACATAGTAATTCGGGGCTCACTTTTCAAGATGGCGGACGCAATGTCCTCCGAAAGTACTGATGCACGTATTGACTCTTGGTTTTTGTTTTTCGAGTACACCATGCAGTACAATATCAAAGTATTTCAGTAACCGACTTTTTGTGAAGTTTCTTATTCTTTCTTTTTCTTTTCTCTTTCTTTTTTTCAAGTTTTAATGAGATGGATGTTCATAAAAGCAAGATTCAGCATTAATTCTTCTTTGCATTCTCCCACATCTCATCAATCGCTTAAAACTCTCACGAAACCTTCTGTTTAGGACCCCGTAGATAATTGGGTTGCACCCGCTGTTCATCATCGCTAACCAAGTAGTCGTAGCAAAAAACTCATCAGGCCACACACATGATGGGAAAAGCAAACAAGTCATGCCTATAAAATGCGGCAACCAGCAAAAAAGAAACGAACCAACTACAATAAGCAATGTCTTCGCTGCCTTGGCGTCACTTTTGTACTTAAGTTCTTTCAATGTTTGATCTTTTGTCTTTTTAATTTGTTCTTGTGATTGTTGCAATTGTGGGGCTGGCACTGCGACTGCCGTGCTTAGAGGAAGGTCACTCAATTGACCAACCCTTGGCTCGGATATGCGTTTTGCGTGTTCTCTAGCAGTCCTTAGAATGTGGTAGTAACTGTAAATCATTACAAGCAAAGGTACAAAGAAACAGGCTCCAAATATAAACATAGTGTATGGGATACTATATCCCCAATCTCCCGTGCATATAGACTCGTTCATGATAAAAGTATATCGTGACCATCCCATGATTGGCAACAAAGCACAGGAAATCGACTGTACCCATACATACACGATCATGAATGTAACCGTACGAGGCGTCATGATAAGCTTGTAGTTCAACGGTTTGATTATCGCAATGTATCTGTCCATAGATACAGCWGCTAGAGACAGCATAGATGCTATACAAAACACCGAATTAGCCATTCCGTTGATTTGGCACCAATGCCAGCCAAAAACCCATCGGTATGTGATTGAAGATGTCAAAGTGAACGGCATTCCTATCAGTGCTAGCAGTAGATCAGCACATGCCAGGTTTGCTATAAACGCGCTTGTTATCTCGCGCAGTCGATGGTTCGTGTAAATCGCTAGGAGTATTAAGATATTTCCAAATATGGATGAAAACATTATAATAGCGAGAAATACCGCTTGGAGRATGATCTCTGCTTGCGAGCGGTGATCCAAAATCTCATCTTTGTTCGTTGTGAGGTTTTCACCGCCTTGTGACATTTTCAGCTCTTTTATTACGAATACTGGTCATTTATCGATCTCCTTTCCTCTTGAATCCTTCGTTATGAATGATAAGAACCTTACATGCGTTCTCAAGTTGACAAGAATAGCAATTTTCAAGATTTTCAAGACTTTTTTCAGTCGGGTACTAAATATTCATTCAAGCCGCCATTACCAGTATTGAAGAGGTTAAGAGTCCTTTGGTTGATCGGCGGTCCAAGCAAAGCAACTTCAGCTAGCAGTAATTGCTAAAGTTGTGAAAATTTCCTTTACCTGTTGGCTTATCACTTACGGTATAGAACTGAAAACAAAGTGAATACGGATGCATTAATTAAGAATCATAAATATTGAAAGATTCGAACAATTTGCGCACGCTGTGCAGAATGGGAAACATCACAGACACAAGCCAATAACGAACAAGCATTTCTTATCAAGCTATTACTCACACTAAACTAATGAAGCAAGAAATTATGATATGTCAAAATACACTTGCCAGGCATCACATCAAAATGGTAATTGTGTTATGTGAACGACTATAAGGCCCCAGTGGGCCACTTAAACATTGGACAGTACGTATTCACTATATATAAATTTGTAATATTATATTGTTGTTTCCATGACAGTTGCGTAAATTTTCAACTAAACAACTATCTAAGGGTGTTTCAGTAGAATTGAAAATTGCTTTGGAAGGTATTTGGAAAAATAATGTTAGATGAATTGTACATGATGACAATATTTATGAGCACAATATTGATATTTATGTATTTGAAGATCATGACGAAGAAGGGTAGATTCGTTTGTCTGTGCTGTGGGTTTTTGCGTCATTTTTGGCAGGTGTTTCTGGTTTCACATATTGGTGTCTAGAAAGCCCGAGC